CACAGAAATCATTCCTGGGTTCACAAGGACAAAACCACAAAAGGCTTTTGTTTGTGGGCCACCTTACATATATTTGGAAGTGCCATTAACCATAGCATGTACCTATGCCTACACACCAAGAAGCTCTATGCTTTTAATGGAAACAAACACAAGGATGCTCACTGAGCCTTAAGTATTAACAAGCATCTAGCACGACCCTACGTWGGCAGGCTCCTCAAGGATGTTTAATTACCTGTCCTCATTTCAGATCTCAGTTCCCATGGACATGCCAGAGATGGACTGCAACACATCCGAGCATGGGAAAAGTCTTTTTTGCAAATGAATCCAGCCCTTATCAAAAATACATTCATTCACATTAGCTGTCAAAATGTTATGGTGAAATAAAAACCACTATCATAATCAACAATAAAACTTATGAAGGAAAGAAAGTATTTGAGTTTTATAGGGCCATCATGGTACCTTGCCTGGGAACTGCTTGAGGCTCTTACAATAATATGGAAATTCAAGATAGTTTTTTGTTTGTTTTTTTAAACGTGGGAAAATTTACAGAATTATTTGAAATGATATAGCAGAAAGAACAGGTAATCTGAGTAGATAATCTTTAGACTGCTTCTGTGATTATCATGCATGTCTAGCCAGTTATTTAACAAAATTATATTTTGATATGGGATGCTGTGTTCCCTTCTCCAAGCATTTATTCCTTTCATTACTAAGGATACAATTTTACACACAGAGAAAATTGGAATATGTTTCTGGTAGCAGCAGAACTGCATACAAACTATCAAAATAAACTGTGTGATAATAGTAACCCAAAGCTTATTGCAAATTTACATTTTGTTGTCTTTTGCAACATAAGAGTGCACGTATGGAAACAGTTCTGAATTCCATTCCTGAAACCTGAAACGACCGCCCCGCTCACTGAATACTTGACCAATCCTTTTCAGTGACCAAATTTTATAGTCTTTAGACTCAGGCACTTGGGAGAATAAACCACAATGGTTTTCATTAATTAAATGGAGCTCTTCACTGAAGTGAAGCCAGAAGGCAATAGCTTCCCTACAGATCAATCTCTTAATAAATCTCAAAGGACTCCTTAAAGGGCCATATTTCAAACATCCACTAAGGAAAGTCTGTTACTCAGGGTTAAAAATATTGACCCTTGTTTTCCTTTTACATTAGGCGTGGCTTGACTTTCCAAACAAGAATATGAAACATTGCTTAAACTGTTTGATACCTCAATATGAAAAGAGAGCATGCTTAGTAATGCAATGAAACACATCTGAAGATATTTTAGCTTGATTTAGTAAGTATATACAGAACACACAGTTCCTGTAGAATATATACATTGACACTTATACACACTTTATGGCCCTTTTAGCATCTCTTCTAGGGAATCATTAATTATTGATTAATTATTATTTCTTAGGGATTCTAGGGAACCATTAATTATTGTTCAATTATTATTACATCTAGGGAACCATAAATTATTGATTATTACTTATTGATTTATTATTAATTGTTAATCAATTAATTGCAATTAATTACAATTTCTGTATTTTCAGAGGTTTAAGCTTTCTTTGACATTTACAGGCTACTTTCTTTGTAACACCTAAATAATACGATAGATCACATTTCCCGCTTTTCCTGCTTATTATAACTGACTCACCTATTTAATTCAAAGTAATTAAAGAAATTCCTGGGAAATGTCTGCCTTCTGTCACAGACTGTCAGATAGAAAGGTGTCAGTAGCAGGTAAAGTATTTCACAACATCAAATTGTTCCAACTTCGAAAATAATTGTCTCTGACAATACTTTAACTCACACCTTTTTCACTTCGTATGGCTAGAGATGTGCTAGTGTGTATTGATGTACTTTGGATCACTCATCCATCACCCAAAAATTAACTCGAGTTTTGAAATACTAAAAGAGCTGAACTGTTTTCGTGAGCAGAAACACGGTGACGCCTGAAAACACTTCTAACTTTCCATAAGCCCTGGCAGAACTAAGGGATGATGCTAGAAATGATTAATAAGGCAATAATGGGAAAAATCCTGTGAAGACCATTGCCACTCACTCTCTCAGATTGTTCACCGAGCCTTTGAAAACAAGAAAGAGCACAAGCACACAACAGCAGAGACAAAAAAGTCACAACACAGTATCATTTGTGTGACACAGTGACATTGTTAAGACTCTGATATTATTTGTGAGCAGTAGATTTACAGAAGTCATGCCAAAAAGATTAGGTTATTATCTATAAGGCCATAGAAATACTACTGTAGATTCAGTTCCTAACAACCAGTCTGGCATTTCACAACAGAAATTAAGACTTCTCTACTGCAGCAGACAATAGTAACACTCCACAGACAGGAATTGAGAGTTATAATTTGAATTTAAGAATCTTAATCAGTAGTCTGCCTCAAGGCTGTCTTTAATGGCTTCTTTTAAATAACATTTAAATATTCCATCAATTTAAACTCTTTCATGAGTTTCACCTCACTTACTTGAAAAATATTTACCTTTGGCTAGTTCATAAGCCACTTTGGCTATTCTCGACAAATTAGGCAGGGTTCATACCCTCCCCAGTCAAAATTCCTTCCTCCTTCCCAAATGCCTCTGCTACCTTGAAGAGCTGCAGCTCCAAGCACGTGAGCACCTCTGATCTGCTGCTTCTCACGTGAAAAATTCCCCAAATGAGAGTCCTCTTGACATCCCCTGGCCTGGGGCAAAATCCCATGATTTTCCTACTGCAGACAAGACCTCAGAGTACGGTCCATGCACATGCATGGAACTACTCCACCGGCGCAACTCAGTTTGACATTTTCCYTTTGGGAGCAAGCTTCATCTTAATACTATAAATAAAGTTTGACTGCTAAAAGTGTTGCAGAAGCCTATCCACTTATTCATACAGATCCAGGTTAGCTATTCTCCACAGACTTGGCTCTTCCTACTTTCTGAAATTTGAGCTTTCTTCAGCTCAAAACTCCACCTCTCTCACCAAAAGCTTGTCACCTCTTTTGTCCAGCCATTTTTCTCCTGCATCCTTTGAACTCCTGCAGTGCAGTTTGGGTGGTTCACCAAAGGGGACGGACATGAGCATGCGTTGGCTTCTGCACCGCCCCAAGTACTCACAAAGARGAAGTCTCTGAGCCCTCATCTCCTCAGCTGGCTTTGTGCTGGGGTTGGGAAATAGGCTCACCACTTCTCAAGATGCTTTGCATGCCTGTTTTCTAATGCCTTTTCACAGGAGCAGCATCTCCTGTAGATATGGGCTCCATATCCAACAGAGAACACAACAGCAGACAAACTTATGGGATATATAAGTAACACAACCCTTCACAACGCACCATAAAACACGACTCGTACACTGTGATCTTAACCTACCTAATGCTGAACAGCTCCATCAGAGCAAAGTGCAGCTCTAAGGAATCRTCTCTGTTGAGACGGATGAGATTATGATTGAGGCAGTTATTGATTACGCCTTGTGCTTTGTTTTATTTATTCACATTTCATTTGTGATAATCAAGTATTATTACTTAATAATTGGGACTACTTGGCTTAACTTTAATCATGGGCAAAAGAAACGACTTGACTTGTGCGCTGTGTGTGCCTGCACGTGGGAAAGGGGTAAGGAAAAAGAAACAAAGAAAATTCTTCTCATGCCACCATCCAATCTATGCATAATTAGCAGTAATTGGTGATTGAACCAACAGCTTTATGTAATCCAACTGGCCTAATCACATTACAAACTGCCCTTGCAAAAAAGTAATTTTGGGCACACTTCATGCTTCCTGATCCTGCTTCCTTGTTTTCCATGGGAACTCTCCATTTTGTACTTTCCTTCACGCTGCTCTGTTCTTAGAAAAGCTTGTGTCCTGCCTCCCCAYAGCCTTCTAAACAAAAACACTCTGGGAACCCACTAATAGCCATCTTGGCTGACCTGCTCTGTTCCACAGTGTGAACTGTTACTGTGCTCTCAGTTTCCTAACAAAGGTGAAATCTTTAGAAACTKTATGTATGTAAATGGCAGTAGAGAGTATCTGAATCTGCTTTAGTTAATAACCTTTAGTAGACTCCACAAAAATAATTCACATTCCTAGAGTGCAGGATCTGGTAAAGTACAGCATGTCAAAAAAGTCGCAGGAGCATCTAACAAAGGCAGCTTTAGAAGAACTTCTTGTATAAGATGGAAATTAYACTTCTTTGGCAGAAGAAAAATTAACTGAGAAATGTCATGGGACCCAAAACTGTGATTTTAGGACAGATTTGGTTCATAGTTATATGGGGGGAAAGGAGAAAGAGGGAACATATATTCTGTACAAGGTGAAACAAAAGAGTTGCAAGAGTTAAATAGACTCAAAGCAAAGTGTCTAATTTTAGGTCACAGCTGAAACCCTTCATTTTCAGTTTGCTAAAGAAACCCAGAACATTTCTATTGGGGGTAAACTCCATTTTTTTTTTCTTTTAAGGTCTGTCCTTTGAATGCAAGAGAAAACAGTATTCTCCTGTCTCTGGGCATTCCACCTCACAGGTTAGCACTGTTCCTAATGCATCCCAAACTCTTCAAAAGTCTCCAGTGAAAGTCAAAGGCTGATAAAAGATATCACAGTAATATCTATAAAAGATTACATTAAAAGACCCAATACCTATAAAAGACCCAAATGAATAGGAAGACAAGGTTGAAGGACAAATTGGAAAAAGTCCCAAATTACATAGTTTTATTTGCAATTTCATTGTTAATCTTTCCAATTGAATTTGGCTATTCCTAGAAAACAATGAACACAAACTGGCTAATTCTGCTTTCTCACTCTTCCGTATCAATATTCTCCAAAGGCAGTCAGCATTTTAGCACAGAACAAAAAATCATGCTTTGATTTCTCTAAAATAGATTAACACATTTATTCTCCAGTACTCCTCTTTCATGCATCTTTCACACCTACAATCAGCCTCACAGCTTCCAGCCATGGCAACGTTAGCATATTTAAAAATAAGGGCTTACTTACTGAGCATTTGAAATACAACCACAGTTTGACAGCTGATGGCGAAAACCTCCTTCCTTCTGACAGCCAGCCTTTAAATAACAGGATCTAATTTCCCCTTTAGAACATATAGAGAAAGAAATCATTTATGTGATGTGATCATATGTTTTACATATAAAATTCATCAAAAATGTATATTAGTCACAAATATTAATATATGCAGATGTCATTTCGGAAGCTTGTTTTAAAAATCCAGAAAGCAAATTAAGTCTCAAACAATTGGAAATCTGAGAGAAATAAAACCAGAAAGWTGAAAGTATATTGAAAATCTGATGCCTTTTCTCAGGAAAGGGCATGAGAGTCCATGAGAGCAAAGAAAGGGAATCTTACTCAAATGGGGACTCAAAGAAACCAATTTGCTACAGGCTTATGTACCCCACAGTCACTAACAGGTATGTGAAACAGATGRAAAGCCCATCTATCAATATAAGTTTAGTGCAAAATGCAAAACTATTAAGATTTTCCTTTCACTTTGTAGAAGTGAGGCCGGGAAGAGCAAAGCAGTGAAAGGGGAAGTGCAAAGTGGAAGAAGTGCAGGCCACCCCTGCCSACCGAGAGAACAGCGCGCTGCTCGCCGAGCCATTGCGCTGCCTTAGCTGCTCCCGGCCCCCCGGCACACCAGGAGCTGCAGGGCCAGCAGGAAAGGGCAGAGCAGAAAACACCTGTGGGGGCACAGACACAGCTACTGCTGGRCTCTTTCCACACTGCTTTTGAGGGCAGCTTTAAGGGAAATGAGGCTTTGGGGGCTGCTGCCTTTCAGAGGTATTTGGCCTGCAGCTCCCAAGGCGCTACAGGGAGTTCACACAAACTACCACAGCTCCGAGCTCTGGTAATAGCTGTGGAGCAGCTGTGGGCGTTCCAGGCCCGGGCACTGAGACACTCTAGTTCACTCATTAATTCTCTTGAGAGAGGTAGCAGAGCGTGATTCTGAACRAGAGCAACCCCAGTGTTATCAGGGACAGTTCTCAGTGTGAGCCAGCACCACACAGCTGAAGAACACAGCAGCCTAAAACAGGAATATTTTACCTAACAATCTCAAGCATAATTGCTCATCAGACAAAATGTGCTATGGGTTCTTCAGCAAAGTCATGCCTAAATCTGCATTCCTTAAAGATAATGTGTGGAAGGTGGATCRGTCTGCTGACAGACATGGGATGGTGCAGACCTCAGGTGTGAGATGGTTCCTGTTGTACTTTGAACTCTTGGGTTGTTTGTGATGTGACTTGAAGCTGCTGAGCTGGTTTTGTCCATGTACACATGAAACATGTCTGTTACCATCAGTAACAGACTGAATACAGAACTGAGCAGACTGTTACCATCAGTAACAGACAGGAATAGAAATATCATTATAAGGAGTCTACGATTTACTTAGGAATTTCTTCACACATTGTAATTATTCCAACTGCAGAAACTCACCATTTTCATCTATGAACACATGCATGGCATCCACGGAGAGCTCATCTTGTACAGATGCCTCGGGTCCACTTATTACTTGCAAGACAGAACTATCTTGCTGAGAAGTTACCCGGTAGATAATCTGCCTTTGCCTGCTGCCCTGGTAACTTGACACAAAAATGTTTCAAAACTACTATGAGGAACTTTTTTCTTGTTCTCAATAAGACAAAAAGAAAGAGAGGTTAATTAAAAGTTTATGTCATTTCTACCCAATAAAACAAAACAGTTTACATCACATCTTTGAAGTACAAAATCGTAAAATAAACTAGGCTTACAGTGCTGTAAATTTGGCAGGCTCTGGTAGTACCGGACTAGTATTAGCATGATCTTGGCTTTGCACATCTGATCTTTCCTGCTTAGGAAGTTGGTCACAGTGTTTTTCTGTTCCCACAATTTCTTCTTTTCTCTCTGTCGTCTGGCTATCTGGAAAACAGGGCAGTGAAGTCGAGCCACTCTGCACAGACGACTGTGACATCAAGAGCTTTGTTCATTAACATCAGAACAAGAACATTTTAATGAGGAAAGCTAAACACTGCAACAATTAATCATTCTACAAAAAAACATTAAAATGACTTCAGCAATATAATCATAGTATGATATACAGCTTGATACACCTGTMTAAGGAGGTATTACGACTTAGAAAGGCTGTGTGAAAGGAAGAGACAACAGAGCAAAGGATAAATGAGAGGCAATCAGGCTTTTCTGTTAGTCCAGAGGAAAGTGATCCCTGTACTTTAACTTCCAGGAAGTTGCTTCCCTAGCCTGAACAGGAAATATTTGGCAACCTTGCTTTGACTGTAAGCAGAAAAAGTTACCCATTAGGATTTGAGAGCACACCTAGAGCAGTGGTGGTTTCATCACCACCATAAGCAGCCACCAAAATTTATGCTTTAAAGTGAGAGAAGTTGGATTTTGTGGCGCCTGACAGGAACGCTGCAGCGAGCCCATGCAGCATCTTGCACTGAGCGAGGCCCATGGCAATGGATTGCCTCGGGCTACCTGCCTCCTGGCTGTGTAAGCACCTCAGAAATGGAATCACCCCAACTTGCAGGGGTCGGGAAATTGTGTTGTCATGGCTAAGATGGTCTAAGGATAAAACAGGAAAACAGGCTCTCTGCTCATACCAAGACATCACATCTTTCGTTAGGCCAACTGACGTCACTGAAAAAAACAAACAAGCTTTTGGATGCACAGAGCAGCTTCTGCAAACAAACCTACCTCCATGAGTTAAGCCGTTTCTCTGCCAGCCTCAGTTCACAGGACACATCCCTCTAACATCCTAAAACCCCGGGCACTCACACAAATGCCTTAGTCTTGCCATGGAACCAGTGTTCACTGTAGACACACTTATTCTTCGGGGGAAAAAAAAATCTAGTGAAAAATTTTGATTCTGGAGAAAACAATTGAGTTTTTGAAAAAAATAACCCCACAAAAATGCCYAAGAAGAATTATAATTGTGTCACGGCACCTTGTCCCAGCAGYTCTGAGCACTAACATAAAGGGCAAGGAGCAGCACCAAAGCTGAAGAACCTCACGAGAGCCCCAGGCTCTAAGCAGACACCCAATAGCCAGAAGCAGGACAAGGTGGCCACTAAAGACACCGTGCAGCCTTTGCCTGAAACAGCAGCCTTCCCTCTGCTGCCGTGAGAAGGTATTTCTACAGCCCTGGCAATGCCCTCACGCTCTTGCTCTCTTTCTGCAGATGACAATCATGGATTTTGATTTCTTGTGCAATAATAATCATAAGTTTGTTCAAGAGAACTATTCTCTGTTATACACAGACATAAAATTCTATAGGTGTTCCAGATCTACTCTCTCCTACTTAAGAAGCATGCAAGTGGGTGATGTTTTTCTTCTTTCCTAATTAAAAATTTTAACTCCATTTTAAGCAGAAACTTTGCCTTATTTATCTGTGGTATTACTGAAGCATGCCCATAATCATGCAACCACCTGAAGGAAGTTTACCTGAAGGAGCTGTAGACACCTAATCATAACCATCTCTTGATGATTATGATTAAGACTTGGGCTGTTTAAGCACTAACATCATTGATAGTGATCAGAAATTTTCATTTTAATAATCTAATTGGTCCCTCATTGCCTAAAACTGGCTCWAGGGCTAGAACAATTAAAAAGATTTTTTTTAAAGGTGATTTAGTGGCTTTAAAGAAAGAAGCCTCTTTTCCACTCCAAGCCGCAAGCTGCTCAGCCTTCTTTCCCCTGCAGTGGTTAAGAGCCATAATAATTATAACAACTCAAGTAGCCCTGCTTCTTACAGGTTTCACATGCCAATCGGACAGCACAACGGCCAGGAGCACTCCCGGCACGGCGAAGTCAGGACACGAGGGATGCGTGACAGGTTTTCCTGCACCTTAGTCATTTCCTTTTAAGTGGAATGGAGATAGAAATGTCTAGACTGCAAGCACTCTGTCAGCGTGCGTAATGAGCTCTACATCAGCAAAACCCTCCTTGAATGAAAATCACACTGGCAGAGCCCAGCCCTGAGTTCCCGGGAAGGAGGAAAGGCAGAGGAAAGGCACCGTACACCAGTTCATCTGCACCGCCACAGTGGCCTTTGCCAGAGCTAGTASTGAGGATCCCGGCTCCACGCACCGCTGATGCAGCACAGCTGGGCAGCACAAACCTCTCWCWCACACACACACACACGCTGGGGCTTAGGGAATTTATTTAGGTAATTTATATGGGAATTACACATTACAGACTGAAATCTGTTTGGTGAAACTACCACTGGTAGGACTAGAGGAAACAGCCACAAACTGAAGCACCAGAAGTTTCACAGGAACTTAAGGAAAAATTTCATAACAGTGAGGGTGACAAAGCCTGGCACAGGCTGCCCAGAGAGGCTGTGGAGTCTCCTTCTCTGGAGGTCTTCCAAACCCAGCTGGATGCCGCCCTGTGYCCCGTAAACATTTTGAGCTCCACCTCCTCTAAAAGCATTCTGATATGATTTAGGACACCACATACCATAACATACCTTTGGTCCAACCAGGATAAGGCTGGAAGAGGTTTTACAGTTTAAATGAAGCAGCCTTTGCACACACAATAATCACAATCCTAGCAGCTAATTATCCCAACTTCAAAGTCACCATATTTTATTAAGTAATTATCATGAATTCTTATTGAACTGTGACATTTCTCCAAATCTTTTCCACTTCATATTCTTTCTCTAGAGCCTGCCAGGCTTTCTCCTGAGGCCTGGATGTGCGCATCCGTTCCCCAGTCTCCACAATTCATTCTTGTAAGGTAAAATGTCACTGTTGTCACCATTTCAAATGCCATCCGGTTTGAAATCTGGTCAAGCAGAACTGAGCTAATTAAGCCCGAGTCTCTTCTGTTCTTTAATTGCCTGTTGCAGAATCTACTCTTTCCACAAAACTTTGTTCCTAAATAGAAAGTTTCTTTATAAAATATATTTTTGCCTGGTTGGCTGTGGACACAACTGATTTCAAATCTCTTAACACTTGTCACATGACAAAATGAAACTTTACATGAAACAGTAACTTTAAGAGGAATGTACTGTCTCATTCATATTTCTGGGGAATACAGGACCACAAACCTGCCAGTGGGTTGACAGTCCTAACCCTTTAGGCACTGATTGTTTCAGCAGAAACATCTAACTCAAACACTTTATCCACAGCCCAAAATCATGCATTATTCCTTAAATCATTTAAAAGAAAAGGTGACACTGAAGCTGGGCAGCCACCAGAAGAGAGCAGCCCCAGGACACCTGACACAGAGCAGGAGCTGCTGTGGAAGCTCAGCATGAGCACTGACAAAGYACCTTGGAGCTGAACCCTGATCCTGAAGCAGCAGGAAACACTTGTGATCCCAGCTGCAAAAGGATAGGGAAACTGGAGCACAGAAGTGACTTGCTCAAAATAATCYATTTATGCCCTGGAAGCAAAATCAAGGTTTCTGAGCTCACAGGTAAGTAGTCTAATCATTCAACTGGTCAGAACACAAACCTCTGAAATACCCTCATAGTTTCTTGACAGATCACTGCCTGCCTTTTAACATATTATACTCTCTTTGATTTAAAGACTGAAATTTTAAAATCTTAGCCTATCAACGTTGATACACTGAACACCAGATTCACCACTCAATGAAACCTGAGTTCTTCATCTCCTTTTCCTCCATCCAGAGGGGCTCATCAAATGCCACATAGATCTCCTCTGGTAGCTGGAGAGAGAGGGGACAGACACTTGGCAGGGTTTTGTGCTGAAGGCGCTGGCTGCTCAGCAGCTAACTCCCGTGCTGCTGCCTCACACCACTGCTGTTGTTAGGATAGGTGACTCAATGCACAAGACCCCTCTCCCTCGCTGCTATATGACAAGCTATAGCTGTTTCTCACATCTAGGGGGAAGAAGAATCTAAAAATATCCATCCAAGTATGCCTCAGCTTTTTATAGGAAAAGGATAATTGCTGGGATGCAGAAGAACTCTCTCAAGGTTGCGGTTTGTGCACTGCCCAGAATGATGAGTACCTTCTCTAAAAAGAGCCTGCAAAACATCTAAATTCAGGCCAGGCAGTCCTGGTGTCTGTCCCTCYGCACAGCTCCCCAGCCCTCCCATGACTGGTTTTGCTCCCCAGGTGATAACATTATCTGTCCTAGATTCCAGGTCACCTGGGTCAGAAGAGACCGCACACAAGCCTGTGCCCAGCACAAACCTGAGGTTTAGCTGCAGGTTCAGCTGCAGATATGGTAGAGAATCCAAAAACACACAGCAATGAGCCTGGCTTTCTCTAGGCATCTCAAACTGAATAAAATTTGCAGCTGCCCTTTGACAGGCTTTCATTACATGGGCGGTGAAAGTTTGATTCAAAACTGGCCTGGAACTCATTTTTAGTAGTAGTGTCAGCGGTGCTTTCTCACGATTCAGAAGTGACAGCGTGGCGACAGAACAGCTCTTAGGCAGCTTTTTTATGTACCATATTTTAACACATTAAATCTGGCAACCTTGGTGGGGTTAAGCAAGGCTTTAATTTCCTTGTTTTGCCCTTCACTGCGCTGTCTACCGGCAAATTTGAGCTTCTGTGGTCAAGASAACCTATCTGCTGCTTCCACACAATTCCCAAGCGTGTGAAGGAATGGGCTCTGACGTTCACTCACTTTCCAGCCTGCTCTGATTAGCCAGTTTYGCCGCCTTCTCCAAATTCCACATACGAGCAGCTTGCTCACAGGCACCTCTGAACATTTAGCTTTCCAGGAATTTGCCAAGTTTCTCACATTTCCTGGGATACGCCCCCATGCCAGGCACCTCATGCTCCTTTGGACCAGACACCTATTATTAGCCTTTGCCAATTAAGTGGTTTGCAAGGTTAAAAGAACAAGAAACAAACACAAACACCCTCCACCCTCAAAACCCTTGGCACAACCTTGACTTGCTTATATTCCCCATATATGCACCCTAGTTTTTTTTTTTTTTAAACTATTTTTTTTTTAACTATCACTTTGATGTGGGAATAATATTTATTCAGATTTGTTCTAAAAAGCTATTGTGTTAAAGTAGATTTGTAATTGCAAGACTGTAAACAAATTAGAGGTTTTTCTCATTCCTAAAATGAAGCCCTACTTTGGAGAAGCAGCCAGTAATGACAGTAATTTATTTTAGCAAGCAGCACATTCTGACTTGACTGGAAAATTAAGTCTACTTGCTTTTAAAAATAACTGCCTTTGAACTACCTCTCTCCAGCTTAAAAGAGTTCCAGTTCAATCCCCTTTTTCCCACAGCACCAGAAGGACGAGCTCTAGGAGACACTAGGCAGCAACAGAAGCCTCAGCTTCTGTTCACGTTCCTGAATGCTTCGGTTTTCCTGGCCCTGCTCTTTCCTAGGACAACACAGGCTGGACCAGCATCAGCTCAGCCCACCCTAAGAACAAGTAGGACAGCTCAGCAATGTCCACCTGCAGCTTCACTTCACTAGTCATACAGACTTACAAATAGGAATTSAGTCCTCATCGCTTAAAGTAACACATTGGTTTGAGGAAAGAATCAGAATCCTCCTATTTCCTGAAGATCAAGGATTTGGGTAACAAGAACTGGCTTTGCTAGATCTACAACCTAATGGCTACACACACATTAAAGATACCTGGAAGGTGGAGAGTGTGTGGAGTCTATGATTTTATCTGATTTATTCTGGTCATTTGATCCTTTTTCTTTACGCTGTTAGTCTTTCACTTTCACATGAGTACTTCTCTGAAACCCATTTGTAGATTAGCTATGCTTTTTTTTATTTAMCTCTGGAATGTTATCACTTCAGCTAGGCACCTATCTTCTTCAGCTAACTCACCACACAGAAGCCAAGTTCTTGCGAAAATACTTTTTGTTATGGTTGAGGAGCAACCAAGACAGCCCACTCCTCACATACATGCCAGAACTCTTGCTTGGTTGCACGGGGAGGGCCGGGATGCAGCTCTTTCCATGGGACACAGGACCCATGGAAGGGGGCTCCATGAGAGGGGCAGCTRCTCAGCAGTGGATCAGCTGAGGCCCCAGTCAAAGGAGTGCTCGGCATGAGCATCAGGAAGCCACGCTGCCCAGCCTGGAGCCAGGCACACGGGTAAACTGGAGARCACACAAGGAGGAACTGCCCTGCAGAACTAGCGGCCTGAAGAGCAGGGGCGGGAAGGACCAGACCGACAGATCAGAAGGGAGGCAGGAAGATGAGGAGAAGGACAATTCGGCTAGGGCATGGAGAGGAAGAGAAGCAGAGGAGAACTGAATACAAGCTGTAGGGAAGCTAAGGAGAGCAGGAAAAGACTAGAAAAGCAGCAGTGCRGGCTGCTAAGGAAGGGCAAGAGAGAAGTATTATGAGAAGGAATGCAAGCAGGGAAGCAAGGAGCACAACAGAGAGTGTGGCTACATGGAAAAGGAGAGAAGAGAAAGCACAAAACTACAAATATAACATGGAAGGAAAAATAAAGATAAGTGAAAGATGGAGCAAGACAAGTATGTAGTCAATCTGATGGGACAGTCTGGAACAAAGAATGAGGAAAGGAAGCATCAAAGTCAAATGGGAAAACAAAATCTACTGGGAAAACAAAAATATGCACCTAGTTTTTCTTAATAAGGTAAAAATGTGAGCTTCTTTAAAATCTGTAGCCTTTAAAAAGAAAAGTTAAAGTCAGTGATTTTTTTTTTTCATTTGTTTGGGGTTTTTTTGGTACAATGAGAAGTAGCCAGAGAAGAAGAGCTTCCCTACAGCCTATCCTTGAAACGGGATACAATTCCAGAACAAGAGTGAAGCAGTTCTGCTGAGCTCCACTAAGTTCATTATGATCAATGGAAAATAGGTCATTTAGATCCCTTCCTCTTAAGTTCTTTSAGAATATATGTTAGAAAAGAACAACTGATCATAGAATTTAAGGTAGACAGGTAAAATTTTGGGGAAGAGGAAGACGTGTGTTGTGGTATTTGACTTTTGCCCACATCTTCTGGAATAGAAAATTGCATCAATACTTGGCAAGTTTTCTGGCATTCTATACACCTTCTATAAGTTACCTCCCATCTTCAAGGAACAGTTCCTGACCACCTAGAGCTGATAAAGCAATTACAAACAATATTCCTTAATAACAGCAAGAAGGCAGAGGTGAAGAGAATTAGTAGACATGACAGCAAGAACAATGCAAATTAGAGCAGGCCTATCTACAAAAATGTCATAAATTGCAGGTATATGTTCTTAAGCTTGAGCTGCTTGAGCTTTTCTTAAATTGTAAAGTCCTTTCAATTAAATGGAATCTTACAAGAAAAGATATCATCTCACATCAAAATACCATAGGTCTTCACTGAAAACCACTCCCAGACTTTTATTTTTAAAACATATATTTTCACTTTAAGCAACTAGATAAGTCAAAACTCTCACCTACTGAGAACAAATTTTTGATTTTTTTTCTAAACCAATCACAACTGTCTGGAAATCAAGAATTCGTTTGTGCATGTTTATCCCTGCACATGCGTGTTTCGAGTTAAACTATCACCAATGACAATTCTAGCTTTTTAAATACATGCAAACACATGGCAGGGCTCAACGTGCAGCTGGTAAGATGGGCAAGGGCAAATGCTGCGCAACACTGATTTTCCTAAGATTTTTTTTTCAATACGCCAACAAGCCAGGCCTGTCAAATGCAAACTAGTATGAATTATTAGTCAGCTACTGGACTCTCACTAGGTTCACCATAAGATTTTTGCAAGGAGTTTAAAAACTAAAAATATTMAAAAAGCTGTACACTGTTTCACTAAAAGTTCTTGTTCTACCCAACCCAGCCTTTCCCTGGCCCTTTGAATAAAGTTCTCCCCTTAGAATTTGCCCTACTGCAAACAAGATTAAGCTGCCATAAATAATTCGCCCCAACATGCTTACTCTAAGGGTTGTAAACCAGGCATYGTACCTCCAGCAGGGCCATTTTCTTTCGTGTTCTCCATTTTGACAGTGGATTGATTGGATGTCTTCGTTTTTGAGGTATTAATGGACTCCAAGAGAGAGACAAACTCTAGGAAGTTAGATTCATTGGGCATCTGCCCTTCCTTAGCTTCCAGATCTGATTTAGAAGTGGGCAAGGTCTTTTCTTTGTCAGGTACCTCTATGAAATTCTTACTTAAAAGTACRTCTGTCCCACTGTCAACACTCAGCACCCGAACGTGCCTCTTTTCATGCGCACTTCTACAGGACTGGGGATCTAGGTTCTGTTGATCCTCTTTAGAGACAAAAGTCATGACCTGCATATTTTCAGAAGGATTCTCGTCCTGGGGATCTGAATGGGTATTAGTTTCCAAAGGAGTATTTGCTGGATTGCTGTGCTCCTTCTCTGCATTGTCTGGATCACCAGATTCATAGCCAGAACACTGGTTGGATGAGAACTCTGCCTTTAAAGCTTCTGGAGTTCTTTCACTTCCGCTGACTTCTGGACAAGTCTTACCTTTACTGTCATCAGACAAATCAAATGTTATAACAGGAATTCTGAGCTGTTCATTAGTTTGTTGGCTCTGCTGATCTACTGTAATGATGCTAGAGCTTGACCTCTCCATGCCCGGAGCCCTTAGCCGGACAGAGCCTGCTATGTCACTGAGGGTGTCTGGTGCACTGCTCATGGTGATAACTATTTTAATGGGTTCACATAGCTGGTCTCCAGGAAGAGAGTTGTCAACAACAGCAACAGCAGTCTCACTGTCTGAGCAGTCAAGGTCCTCATTAGTATTATCAGCATTAAAGGAATCTTCAAGGTGGTCAGAATTTCTGGTTGCAATGGCATTGCAATGGGGACAGTTGCTAGYAAAGCTTGCCTGGGGGGATCCATCTGGCAACTTCTCTCTTTTGTAACTTCTTGGGTTACTCAGGTGGTCTGAAATAACTGAACTTTCACTGTCCCATGGCTCCAAAGAAACTCCAGTCCTTAAAATGTCACCCTGTGATGGAGAAACACTGGAGAAGTTTTTAACTACATCCCTGTCCACAAGAATATCTTGTGATCCATGCTGTCCAGGTGACTGTCCCTTCTCTCCTTTTTCATTTATTCCATTACCAGAAAATGTTTCCATAGCAGCTGGTTTTGCCACTATTGCTGATGTGGTGGAACCTGAAGCAGAGGTTGTAGAAACAGGTAATATATCTGCTTCGATACAGGGTGAGGTAGATGAAATTGGTAGTGCAGTCTGGTCTTGTAACACTGTAATCCCTAACAAAGACACACAGGAATTAGGCCTCATTAGAAATGAGAACATTGTATATTACTGAACTACAATATTTAGCTAGCAAACACCCTTAAGAAAGCAGAACAAAGAAAGCACAAAGTAGATGAGTGCAGTAAATCAAAAGCCAGTATCTTATGGGTTAGCTAGATGTAAAATACTAAGAAAACAAGCAGAGTAGCACTAATACTGCTTTAGATAAGAATAACCATCAGAATGGTTATACAAGACATTTTATTGTCACGATAAATAGGAATTAAGGTTTTATGTGAAGTTGTGTGCATGCTGTAAACAATACTAACAAGATCCTRAGATTACAATGGTGTTCACATGTATGAAAGCTGCTCTTCTAGCCTTTACCTGGAACCCTTGGAGGTCAAGACAGCTTTAGCATCAAGTCTATTAAATTYAAATAATCAGAACTACGTCTACAAACAAAGAATTATTCTCACTTAGGGAACAGAAGAAAAAAACAAGACAAGGTGGCAAAAATATTTTATATTACTTCGTGCAATACCTATATGGTTCCATAGGATACAGTGAGCAGCATTCACAAAACAAAAAAATCCTAAACTATGCTGAGACACCTTGATGACTGAAACTGTAGGCAGACCACATTTAGATGGAAATGTCTASGCTAATGAGCTAAGAGATGTTATTTGAGGGCTTTAAGATGCAAGCTGAGCAGTGGCTTCCCTTTTCAATACCTGCAAGAGGGCACAGAGCTTCCCAAGAATGTGGGCGGAAGGCTCTTCCATCTCCTCATATCAAACAGGAATGCTGTTTCCAAACTTACCAAAAAAATGTAGTCCAAAGAGCTTGGCTGACATCTGAGAAAACTTAACAGTCTCAAGGGAATTCTAGCTGAGTTTCTGGAGCTTTTCCATAAAGCTCCTAACATGGGGCATGACAGAACCTGCTGTAGTCTCATGCACCTTTTTTTTTTTTTTTTGGAGCAAACAATGATTAAACAAAAGTTTGAGAGTATTTATAAAGCCTTCAAAATACCTTTGAGATCTTCAATAGTTTCACGTGTTGGCAGCTCCTAAAAAATAAGAACCCCCACRAAATTATTATGGGTTTGTATTAAATACCTTCAGAAAAAATAATCAACAGTCATCTAATCAGATGTTATTTACAGTATTGGTAAGTTGCTAAACAGGACTGAAACTTAGACATGTACCTTGCACAAAATGCAAAGAGGGAGGAAAGAAAAGAAAGGGAATTAGGAGGTACACAGATGATTATTGAACAGTCATGCTCCCAACTACATCACTGCAACTAAACTTGTGATGCTTGGGGAGAAAAGAAAATAAACAACCACCACCAAAAAAAAAAAAAAAAAAAAAAACCCCCCCCCCCCCCCCCCGATTTTATAAAATACTTTGCAGTCCAGGTATTTTCATGCATTCATCTATTTCTCTATTCCAATTATGTTTCCACACCACTAAAACACAATGTTTTCTCCAGCACTCAGTAGCAATTTTTCCACAAAACATTACAGGGAAAGACCATTAAGCTATCTTAGAATCATCTGTCTCGCAAGGAAGCTCCTAAGTCCAACTCTCTYCCCCATCCTACATGCATTCCTTCATACACACACACATCCACACACAAAACAGAGGTTCATCAGGGCTGTGTCCAGTAGAGCACTGGATATGTCCAAGGATGGAAATTTTACAGCATGTCCAGACAACTTCTTCCAGTGTCTAATCACCTTCATGGTAAAAACTCTTTAGATCCAAATGAGGTTTTCTATGTTCCAACTTGTCTCCTTTGCTTCTTGCCCTGTCAGTGTTCACCTCTGAGAAGGGTCTGCTCAGTCTCGACTATACCTTTCCATAAGGTAGCTGGAGACAGCAGTAAACTCTCCTTTTAGCCTTTACAAGGCTAAAACATTTCAACTTTTTGCTCTCAGTCATCATATACCCCTTTCCCTAGTCATCTGGGTGGCTTTTGCTGGTTTCACTCCAGCACGTCMGTGTCCATCAGTGTCTGTGTGGCAATAAAGAGCCCAAAGCTGGGCACAGTACTCCACATGGATACTTCAGGACTCCAAATGGAACAGCTCAGACTTAAAGGTAGAAAAAAAAAAATTGAGAAAAATTAACACGCTGTTTCCCCTCCTCTGGCTGGCGGGCACAAAGGAAATAATAAGCATCTCCTGCAAACTCATGGCATTATGCTGGCAGCAAGGGAAGAAGATTAGGTTTGACTAGACCTGACCTATACTTTTGGAAATGGGAAACTGGAACAAGATCTCAAGGAGAAATGAGTTTGCAAAGGCAGACTGGACAAAAAACAGAATACTGGAAGGACTGAAACAGAAACAAGGTGAGAAATATTTTACCTGATTAAAGAAAGCTGTTAATGTCTGTGAATCATACAGATGCTACAAAAGGGTAAAAATGCTCTAGAAAATGAGGAAATAATTCTGATTCAGACCAAGGTTTAAATAGTTTGCAGCAACGAGGGAGACAAAGGAATAAGGGAGGGAATGAAGACAATATAAGATTAAAAAGCTACTTATTCAGAGATCACTAACCATCCTCTGCACTGAATGAAGCAGGAGTCCTGTAGAAAAAAAATAGCATGTGATCACATAATTAAAGATTTTATCACAATATACATGGGGATCAGCTGAAGATTACATAGTATTCATTCTGTTTCTTACTTTTTGAATACTTGACTTTTCAGACTTCTCCTGATACTTTCTTATTATTGCCTTGTTAGCATAACAGGTAGATACATGACGTACCTGACCTTCATCACTTCATACCCTTTACTGATTTAAGAAGCATGACCAATGGCTTGGAATGCATCTGTGTTTTAACCTCACGTAGGCATCTTCTGGATTTAAATCACAATGCTTAATGTGTTGTATAAATGCTCAAGAGATGTGCTAGGTTTGTTTTATGAACCTAAATCTAGCGACCCAAAGGGAAGTTACTAACGTGCCAGGAGCAGAGGGCTGCCAAGGTGGTGATGAGCTGCTCTGACTGCGTTAGCAGCGCGCTGTGGACGTTCCCTTCTTCCAACGTGGGCAAAGTTCTCCCTTCTCTGAGAGCAGCTGTGAACACGAGGTGCTCTTGGTAAGATTTGCAAGGCCCTTGGGCATCCACAGAGCAGAGAGACCTCTCCAGAGGCTTCCAGAATTATCTACAGCTTTGCAAACCCAAACCTCTGGGGCAGGGCTAAGGTTAACCAACACCAGTCTCTATAAAAATTACCTCCAGGGAATCACTGTCTGCTACTTAGGGGCAAATACTTTATTACTTAAGTAATAAATACCTGACTATACAAACCTCCACATGGTAAGTGGCGCACTGCACAAAAGGAAGATAGAACAACGGAAGAGCCATACTAACCATCGCTGCAGAGGAGTTCTGTGAGTGGAAAGCCTGTCCTCCTGAACTGCTTTCACTTGTTGGAGTAGAGTCATTTTGGTTGGTCTCACCAATTACATCATTATCCCCTGTGTTATTGCTGAAACGGGGGAGAGAAGAAAAGGAGGCAAATAATAATAATTAAAAAGAGAAATAAAGCAATGTTTCTAAACACACAGAGTCTACGAGGAACCTGGAGAGTAATAACTAGATGGAAATTAACATGACAGGAGGATCAAGTAACAGCATGTTTCTTCTCCATTTTTAAAAGAACAGGGTTGAAAAATACTACAATCTTTCGCAATTCATCACTTTCCCGGAGGTTTTCCTAATTTTTTTTACTCGTTTAAAATGATTCTGGTCTTCTAGAAAGCAGGACATTGCTSTAAGAAATATAATGGCATCTCTTCAGACAGAAGAAATTTAACAATGGATATACTACAGGCAGCTTGAATATATAAGCATCACATCCTTTGTGGAAGCAATCAGTTCTCTGCACTAATTCTCACTATATTCCTACAACTTTTTTTCAGTGCATATAGGCAAATACTTTTGGACAAAAATTATTTATGAGAAGAAACATATTTTCTGTTTCTCAGGTGTAATACCATAAACAACCTGTTAAAAAATCACCACTATGATATCATTTTTTCCCAAATTCATTTTTAAAATAATATGTTATTTAAACCTATTATGCATTATGAACATTTTAAAAGCATTAAAGGCAAATATAATCTGCAAGATTATTCACTTATAAATCTAAGTCATGTTCCCACATTTTTTTCTTAGCTTCAAAAACTTAAAGCAACTTGGCTGCCATCAGAGTTTGTTTAAAAGCTTCTGTCATCTACCTAATTAAGTAAAGCTTTWTTTTTTCTTCTTCTTCTTCTTTTTTTGCTGACTGGGGCTAAATAATTGAGACTTCTTTCTAGGACCTTGTAAGAGGAACATGTTATGGGGCTTAACATGCAAGTTTTAAGGGATAACTCCACTCTGTCAAAACGCAGACAGGATAATCAAAGCTTGAATTTTTTTCAGTAGCCAGTGTACAAGAGAACACTGAGGTTCTGTTTAAATCTCAACAAATAACAGATAAACCTCTTAAATTATTATATCAGTTACCAGCAAATAGGAAGTAGGTTTGCAAGCTGGTGATACAGAGGAATAGCAATGTCACTGCAAGGAGCATAGCACAGACACGTATGCAAAGACAGAAAAGAAATTGCTGAATACAGATAAGCTTTGAAACTGGTAGCTCGCATAGCCTTGGCAGTAGCAGAGCTCTCAACGGGGACTGCAAATGCACTGAAACAGGAAAGTAAATTCACCCTTATAGAGCTCTCTGTTGCAGAAGTCTGGCTGACAGTCATAACAAACCCACTCAGTTAAAGCTTTGTTTGGACATTTCAGTGCTAGAGTCTTGGATGTACCTTATTTCAAAATTTTTCACATATGCCACAGTGTTTGGGCACACTGAGAGCTGCTTGCTGGCTTCATGTGCTTCTGTGCAACTAAAGCTTGTAAAACCAGTAGGAGGTCTCAGTTTTAATTTATTTCATAGGCTTTCAGTAAACATAAAGGAATATTCTAAGTACATATAAATCCGGAAAAAGCAAGTACTAATCTTCAGCCCAGTGCTATTTTCTCTTTAATGCTATCTCAGTCTACAAGTAGCCTTATTAACTTTGAGAGCTTATTTGCAGTATAAACTTGGCTCCTCAGAGGCTGAAAGGGCTAAAATAAATAAATAGCATCTCAGAGTCTTAAAGACGAGGTATTAAAGCATTTTCCTGGCCATGAGGTACAGGTCACTTCCTTCCTTCCTCCCAGTAGTCAACACTATTGGGACTTTTACTTATGTTCCTGTAAGTCCCAACAATTATCCGAAGTTTTCTCAGAACTAGAATCCCTCCAATTAAGGCAATGCATTAACAGAGACATTTTAGGAACAATATAATCTTTTACCATTACACATGTAGGATAATACATAGAAAATCTAAGCCATAGCACTTCCCAGACTTACATAACATTCCAGCATCTTAGAGAGACAAGTGCTTCCTTCCACCTTCTAGTGAGCAGCTACCCAAGGAACTTTCATCTTGAAGACTTCCTGATCTTACTGGTGCAGGCCTCATCCTAAAAGATCCTACTTCATTACATAAGAGCCCAATACTTTATTCTTCCTGATGAAGACAGAGCTCTTCTCCCTGACTCTCAAATTTCTTTAGGTTACAGACAAGAACAAGAAAAGCTTTTCTACTACTCCCTCAACCCCTAAGCTTCCCTAGAATCCTTCCTCTAGCCCTGCCCTGGCTAGGGCTAGATCACCTGGAGGTGATCTTTTATCACCTCCCACAGAGGTCTCTTCCTCTGCCTTCATCAGGTCCATGTGGAACAGGTGTGCTGGAGTCAGCAAACAAAAACACTAAGCAGGTGTTAAAAAGTGCTGTTTCCTTACAATTAACAGGTAAAACTATGCTGCAAACTTAATCTTTCTATAAAATTAGTTAACATTGTACAATGAAAACCTTACCTACAGTTTGAGGGCTGAACTGTGTTTCCTTTTGGGGCTTCTGTTTCCTTACATTGCTTTCCATTTTTTCTTGAGATCTTTTGTTGAATTACTTCACCTTTATCAAACATAAGATGCAGTCGAAAACTGATGACCTTTATTATTGTGAAGAATGTTGTCACTGAGCAGCAGTATACGAAAACTGTGATGGTGTTTGGCGGGAAAGCCTACAGAAAGGAATAATAAAGAAATCAATATAATAGTTCATTTTTAGAAGACGCAATTAAAATTCTTGAAGTCATTTTCAAAACTTTGATTCTTATTGTCTGTTACTTGTACCTCTACTGAACTCTGCAAATCCAAGCATAGCCTCTCTGCAGACTACATTTGGATCCTAATCACCAAAAAGTTGTAAAGATTGGCTCAAATTTCAAACCATTGTACAAGTTATATTCTTTTGCTTAGCAGTGGACATTACTCCCTTCTTAAAAATCAGTGAAATCTCACAATGAATAAACATTCTAAAACCTCGTAAAATATCTCCTTTCCAGGCTAATTGTAGCTGCAGCCTTTTCTATTTTATGCGCTTACAGAAATGCAGACACAGAATGAAATAATTTACAAACAGGAAACCCATTTTCAAAAATTCTGCCATTCTACCCTGCTTCTCAGTTCTAACTTAAGAGTGAAGTGCTGTAGCCTGCTCTCCCTTTATTAACACTTCACAGCCTGTCTCCACGTATCTCCACCACTAAAGGATGTTAAATAATTAAACAGAACTACTCAAAACAAATGAATAAAATGCAGGTAAAGCCAGCCTCTTTTAATGCTTTTTTAAAAGTTCTAAGTGTTAATTTGCAGTTGTTCGTGATCTGTGTCTGCTGATCTGCGATGTGCACCAGATTTCTTAGTCATTAAAATGAATTATAGTTTAACTATAGTTTGTAAATCCCTTTCAAAGTTCATCTTTCAGTAAAGGGGGAATCATAGCAATGGATCCTTGTGGTTATCTCTGCAGGGTCAAAGCCCTTACTGTTACGGTTAAAGAATGTCCTTATGTGCTGTTTCTATTCATTTGCAGGTTCATGATGAGATACATTTCTTAGTTTCATACTGGTTGGTTTGGTTTTGAACAGAGTGTTACTATCTTGCTGCACAAACTGTAACAAGGGCAAAAGGAAAGACTCCCAATGTTCAGGGCCTGCTGAAAGGCAACTAAAGCTGACTTTGAAGAAGAGTCTTTACTTTGGGTTCTAAATCTGCTATTTTAAGTATCAGCTTTCCAACTTAAGAAGGATTTGGGTCTAAAAGATGAAAAGGGTTTTTAGCTTAGAAATCTTTTCAGGTAGCTCTAGGGGAGGAATGGACATGAACTAGGCTTTCTTATTTCACTGCTAAAACAAGTACAGGGTTTATCTTGACGTTGAACTAATATCCACCTGGAAAAGTGGATTGCTTTTCTGCTTTTGACTGAGACTGTTTACCTTCAAGATTTACACATCAAAATTTTCAAGTACATCCTTTTTTTTTTTTTTTTTTTAGGACTATTCTGATTCACACACCAAGGATCTATGGCATAAAAGAGCAGAAACTATTTAGCATGTGGGCATTAGTAATGATATCTAATAAGAAATACATTTACTTTCTACAAGTTGAGGCTTAGTTTCTTGGAGTACTTCACAGTACTGTGTACATACCAAAACTAAGCATCTGCTCACTGAATCTGGACCACAAAGAGCATCAGTTTGCAAGACAATGCTCGGGGAGAAATGCTGGTGGATAAGGTGGAAGAATTAGTGTTTTATAACTAATGTACGATTAATGTATTTGAAAAAAAAAAGTTGAAATACTGTTGGATTGCACAGAGAACAATAGCCAATTATCTGTAAGACTTTGCTCAAATGAGGGATTTATTCACTTTCTGGTGAACTAAGTTTGGTGATTCATCAAAATGCACTAAAAAGCGAAGACTGACCACTCGGTATTAAATGATGCCTCAGAATACATCATTATCCAGCATAAATGAGCAAATGGAAAAGAAGTGCTTGGTAAGTGACATTCCTGAAGCTTAAAATGCATTCAGGAATACTGTTAAGAAAGCACAAAAGAACAGACTTACAACAGCACAGTCTATGTCAGTGTGGAGCAAACCACAAGGATACAAGTGACTATGGTTGGAGTTCCCAGGTATGGACACATGAAAGCTGTAAAATCTACCTGAGCTAAGGAGGAATTAAATTATAGACCACTGAGAAATTACATGATAGATCCACTTTTGATTTGTTGTAGTTATAATTAGCCTAGTTTCCTCTGGAAACTGGGCTTTATAATCACACCATGTGAGTTTGTATCCATCATCTCTCTTCATCCCCTCTGCTGAATTACTTAACTCTGTGGCCACCTTCAACTAACTTTGTCAGAATCCACCTCGCTGGGAACAAGGCCACAGCAATGCCTTCAACAGAGGAACTGCATTAAAGACAGGAAGCTGCGCAGCAATCTTGCGTTTTGAAAGCCCYAATCACACAGAAAGCTTGAGTTGAGCCGCCACTATTAGAAAATAGAGAAACAGCCCCAAGCCAGACCTGCTAGGGCAGCCTCCACGAGACTGTACCAGTTCCTGTGGAGGCTGTAGCTCCAGCCTTCCTGGCCCTCAGCCAGTTAAAGACTCTGCCATAATGTACTTCTTGTTTCCAGTTGCTTCCGTTGTTATACCCTGCACTGGAATATTTTTGTGTCCTATACAGATTTATATGTTCCAGATGTGACCTGATTTATTACTGTAAATGCATCACAGAGCTGCTGTGCTGGTGCTGGCAGGGCATTTCACCGACTGGGACTTTTGACTGTCCAGAGATCTCAGGTGAATGGCCAAATTCTTCTTCCTATTTTTGCTAATATTCAGGGTGCACAAAGACAAAAGCTATCTTTGCGTTATTTGAGTGTGTTCCTAATTCAATACATGTGATAGAGCAAAACTGATCAGTGTGATAACATAAGGGCACTGAACCACCACGGTCTTTCTAAACTTCTAGAATGTTTCCACTGCGGAAAAAAACAGTAAATTCAAGAAAGTTTTCTATCAAAATAAATGGCAGAAGAAACTTGCACCAAACCGTTTTGGTGACTCATCAAAATGTGGATGTGCGCTGTCCCGCAGCTTATCAAGTAAGCTATAGTACAAACATTCCCAAAGTCATCTCCCTGCTTCAGTGATGTTCCACCGGGACCGAATCAGCTCAGGCACTTTTAGCAGGAACAAGCACTGCTATTTTCCTGCACAGAGTATCCGGTAACCCTCTGCCTTTTGGTGGAATAAGGTAACAAATTCCTAATCCGTTATGAGGTTTGACAAAGCAAAGTTACAAGAGCTCTCATTACAATTACCATTTGAAAGTTGATTTTAAGGACATTTTAAAATGTGCATTTATTATTGAGAAGGGTAAATGAGATAGAAAGGAAGAGATGAAAATACAGATGGCATTTTCAGGAAAGGGGAAGTTAATAATGGAATTATTAGTAACAAAGCAAGCTGTGCTGATAGTGCTATAGAAGGAAATCCTCCAGTCCCCACAGCAGAAACAACCTGATACTCCCAGCTTCCCAACCCTACCAGCACGCTCCAGCTGAGCTGCTGGGAAAAAGCTGAAAACAGTTGGATGAATTTTGACATTTCAGTGAACTCAAAATGTTTCAGAGTAACTTTCTGACTTCAACAAAGGTTTGATCAAGATGATCCAATGCAAAGTAATTTTTAATAGTATTCTATTTTGTTTTGGCTTTGACATTTCAAGGAATGCAAGTAACCATTTCAGCTGAATCCAGAACTATCGGTGTTAATGTAAATGTTAATCATTGCACAATGTAAATATCATCCCAAGTATTGGCAAACATAAGACTCAAAAGAAAACCTCTAATTAAAATTCAGGTTCAAGAGGCAAGAATGCATCTAGTTTGCACAATATTTACAAAGTCCAACCACTTCAAAGCATGAAAACAAATACTTAAGGATGTCACTACTCTTGAGCAGCCAGCATAATAAATGAATTACTGCTACCAAGGATACATGAGCTCAAGAATACAGCTTCTGGTATTTAACCAGATGATTCATCAGAAAGTCAGCCAATCTGCAATAAAAGAACTAAGTCCATCTGGATAAATTAAGATGAAACACAAGATAAAGAAATCTAAGTTTAGTAGATAAGTCGGATCTCCTTTCCCCTTTCCCTTCCTTTCTCTTTCCCTGTTTGTCTTAGCTCTAAACTACAGTCTTTGGACCCAGCGTTTTCTTTATGCAACTCTGCAAGCTTTCCTGCATGCTATTAATTTCTCACATATTTCCAACATGGAAAGACATATTCTAATACATCCTTACTTACATAAGTTAGCTTTTCTTCCTTTTGATTTTTTTTACTACACATACCACTCAGACAGTTAAGTTCTACAACACAGGACCCTTGCTAGTGTATGTAAGAAACAGACCTGGTTAATCAGAAGGAAACACTGAAGTTTGGCTGTCTCGGTTCAACTCGTAAGCAATGCTTACAGGAATTCAGTGCCATCCATGCCACAAAATGTGGGAGAGCAACTGAGTCTTAAAGACACCAAAATTATGTTTCACAGAGATTTCCGAAGAGTTCATGAGTGCTCCCTGCTTCTGCAAAACAGGCCAATATCTGACCATGGAGTTAAACATGTACTTAGAACTTTTTACTCAACAAAAAATAATCTATATAAGTTGGTTAAGAAGAGTCACCATAAAAAAAGGCTTTTTTTTCCTAGTAGAAACACTATTAAGCAAATACTAAAGAATATACCAATGGAGAGATACAATGACCCAACAAACTGTATTTCTAAACTTTCCTAAAACAGTAGGAAAACACACACAAAACCAGAGTAAAAGTTTCAAGCTTTCAAGAAAAATAATAGTAAAGTTTAGCAAACAAACTTCAGCTCTTAAAATGGTATGTTTGCAGTGTTTAAATTTTAGAACAAAGGGAGCTGCCYGTCACAAAAAGCAGTGTGACTCACCAGTGACATTCAGCAGGCATATTAATTATACGCTATTTGGGTTTTTCCACTGATTTGCCCTTCTCAAAGGAAAGGGCTGGGGACCAGGCCTGAGAATAGATGTCCCTAAAGGCGGATTTTGAGCCAAGGTGGATCGGGTCATTCGCTGCTGCCGCAGACGGATGCGCTCCATTCCCACCGCATCAGCGGGACGCGGAGGTCAGGCCCCGGACGGCCGCACGGAGCCTCTTTAGGGGGTCAAATATCCCAGTTGATGGCACAAATTCACCCAGATGGGGAGGTCAGGCCCGGGACCGCTGCGCGGGGCCTTCTTTAGGGGGTCAACCCTGAGATGCAAAGGCCGGACCCAACACTCCAACGGGCGCGCCCGGTGTAACGGCTCGGTGTAACGGCCGGGTCAGACGCCCCCTGCACCACAGCGGGACGGCGGAGGAGGGAGGGAGGGAGCCCCCCGGCCCGCCCGCCCGCCCGCGAAATGGCGCCCGGCCGCCCCCGCCCCGCGGCGCCTCACCAGGTGCAGGGCGAGCGGCAGCGTGAGCAGGAAGAGCCATAGGTAGAGGTGGCAGCTGTTGGTGAAGGCGCCCTGCTCGGGGTCGTGGTACCAGCCGCCGGTGAGCGCCGCCCACACGCCCTGCGCCACGAGCCGCGCCGCCGGCGACACCATGGCCGCCCCTCAGCCCGCCGCCGCCGCCGCCATGCCGGGCGCGCGCGGATTCTCCCAGGGTGCCCCGCGCGGGGCGCGCCGAGCATCCCGGCCCCACCCCGCGCGGCGGCGGCGCGGGAGGCCGCGCGCGCGCCCGCCATGGCGGCGGCGGCGGCGGCGGCGGCGGCTCCGTCCCGCTCCCGGTGCCGCCGCAGCGCCGCCCGCTCCGCAGCCCCTCGCGCCGCTCTGCGGACTTGCGTTCTGCGTTTCCTGTTTCATTCCGCTCTCGCTAGGCGTTTGCCGCAGCCGCGCTTGGGCAGGATGCGTGTGTGGCATCGGAGCGAGCCGAGGCGCTCCCGTTATTTCTCGGCCARCCTGCGGCCGTCGTTCCCGGCCCTGGCCGCGGCTCCGTGGAATGAGCCGCTTGGGGCTGCTTTGCACGGACTTCCCAGAATATGGTAAAGAGCGAGGTATTTCACCGCATCTCAGCTCAGTTCCTCACGAGGGTCACCACGGAGCTGCGCCAAACGCCTGCGCTCACATAACGGGAAGGCTGACACGCGGTATAAACGTACGGCCGGCTGGAGCGGGCACGGGGCCGTGCGCTCGAGCTGCGCACTGAGTCGCGGCGCTCGCAGCCCGGCGGCCGCGGGGTACCCGGTTTGTCCCCGTTGAGCGGGCCCGTCTGCCCCGAGGAGCGGGGTTTGGCCAGAGCCTCCTGTGCTGCCCCTGCAGACACGGCGTTCCCGCATCTCTGCTGTGCTGAATGGGAAACGCAGTTTCACCCTTCGCACGGTAAGAGAGATTCTGTTCAAAGACAGCCGCCAAGTTAATGATTGCGTCACGCACAGTAGCCTGCTATGAGTAATGAGACAACTCAACAAGTTTACTCTTCAGAAAACACGCAAGTTATGTCTTCCTTATACAAGTTCAAAATAAAAATAATTACACCACAGAACACCAGAACAAACAATCAAAGACAACTGGGTAACCAAAGGTGAAAACAGAGCTGCCTCTCTTCTTATTCTTTTTTTTTTTTTTTTTTTTTTTTTTTCCTTTTAGACCTCTAACTCATATAGATTATTATTTGGAGCCCATCAGTGGTGAATTCAGGCTTGATTGGAGATCCTATCAAATTTTTCACCTCATCTTCATCATTTTGATAACGTTGACACTAAACATTTTTGACGTAATGCTAAGGGCAAAAACAAAGAGATACTGATAATTTCCAACTAAAGGCATGTGTTCTGGACACGATGCAAGTATACAGCATTGAACCTATGGCTACATGTGAGCCAAAGATGAGAAACAAGCACAGATTTCTTGAGAAAAGCTTATGATAAATAGAGCAGTAAGCTTTACTTCAAGTTCTCTCTTCTTCTAAACCATCAAACCACTAGATGGTGCCATGAGAAAAGTTACAGGCATTTTATATTATTCTTTCTTACWTTATTTCCATTATTAGAAAACCTACAAACAACAGTTTTATAGTAAGATCCTGGAGTGATAGGTGCTGCAGAATGACTGAACAAAGAACTGTAGGATTGTAGCAAATGCTTTGGGTAATGGTACTTCAGAGAGCAAATTTTGGAAGAATAGCTCTAAATAAATATTTAAACTTTTCACGGTACTGCAGCCAATACCTGGTCTGACCTAAAACATTCCACAGTTAATTAGTTCCTGCAGATTCCTTTAGATAACAGATAAACTTCAAGGTGGAATTTGTGCAGCAGAATGCTTGTGTTACAACATACTTTATGGCTTTTATAATAAGGCAAATGTGCAGATAAGGAAAAGAGTTATAATTATCTCTCTGAATAGCTGCAAGGCAGTTTGATAGGCATGCTGGCTCTACATTCTTTTTGGTTAACTTGGTTCAGCAAGCCACTAAAACACAGCACAAACTTATTTTTGCCTTATATGAAGAATTAGCCATGGACTGTGGGATAAAAAAGAAWCGAGGAGTTTTGTGTACTGTGTTCTTTATTTTGTGCACGGCAGTCTGCAGAGTGGCACACAAGCCTTGCAKTGCCCATCTCCGAGCTTCATGTTCCCGTAGGGATGTGCTCTGGACATRAAGTTTTTAGGTGACAAGTCGAGCAGCACCAACCATGCACAGCTGGGCATCCTGGCACCTTCCCCACGCCTTTCTCCCCATCTCGCACAGCATCCCTGCGGACGGAGCGTGCCCGCCATCCGCACACTTGTTCCTGGCTCCCACTGAAGCCCTCCCGGTTCAGGAGGCGCTGGGAGCTTCCCGGCTGGCCGGGACATCTTGGGACGCGGGCAGCCCCAGGCTGCGCTGCTGCCCTAGCGGTCTCCTCCCAGGCGGAAGGGCGGTCACGCCACCGGCGCGAGCGCTCGGGGGCGGCCTGCGGGCGGCGCCGGTGCGTGGCGGGGCGAGGAGGAAGCGCCAGCGGCGGCACTGGGGAAGCGGCATTGCTCGCGAACGCCTCGCGCCCGCCTCCCGCGAGCTGCCGGGGCTGCGCAGGGAGGCAGGCGGCCGCGCGGAGCGGGACGGCCGTTACAGGGYGACCGYTGGGAGCCGCGCGGAGCGGGACGGCCGTTACAGGGCGACCGTTGGGAGCCGCGCRCCACAACCACCTGCCTCCCTCCTCACCCACCTTCCCGCGCACCCCTCCCTCCCGCCACCGTGCGGCCTCACGTGACCGCCAGCGGCCAATCCCCTCAGCCGCCGCCGCCCCGTCCCCCGCCGCGCGGCCCATAGGTCGCAGGGCAGGGCAGGCCCCGCCCCCAGCGTTGGCCCCGCCCCCGGCGCGGCGCGGCCCCGCGCGCCCGCCCCTCCCTCTCTGGCTCCGCGCGCCGCTCCCGCCCGCGGCGGCAGGTGGGGAGGATGCGGCCGCCCCGGCGCCCCCGCGGCAACGGCTCCAACGGCACCAACGGTCGGCGGGGCTGAGGTCGCCGCCATGGCTGCGGCGGGCGCCGGCGGCGCGAGCCCGCTCTGGACGGCGCTCTACGACTACGAGGCGAGCGGCGAGGACGAGCTGAGCCTGCGGCGCGGCGACGTGGTGGAGGTGCTGTCGCAGGACGCCGCCGTCTCCGGCGACGACGGCTGGTGGGCGGGCAAGATCCGCCAGCGCCTCGGCATCTTCCCCGCCAACTACGTGACCCGCCAGCCGCGCGGCGCGGCGGGCGGCGGGGACGCGGCGGCGGCCGCGGGCAGCGTGCCCGAGATCGCCTTCGAGCACCTGGAGCTGCAGGAGATGATCGGCGCGGGCGGCTTCGGCCAGGTGTACCGGGCGACGTGGCGCGGGCGCGAGGTGGCCGTGAAGGCGGCGCGCCAGGACCCCGACGAGGACATCACGGCCACGGCGGAGAGCGTGCGGCGGGAGGCCGCGCTCTTCGCCATGCTGCGGCACCCCAACATCATCGCGCTGCACGGCGTGTGCCTGCGGGAGCCCAACCTCTGCCTCGTCATGGAGTTCGCCCGCGGCGGCTCCCTCAACCGCGCGCTCGCCGCCGCCGGCGGAGCCGCGCCGGGGCCGGCCCGC